GCCAGTCTTCTTGTCCGGCCTGCTGGGTGGTTTCTTTCTTGGACTTCTGGCTGTCCTTTGGATTTGGTGGACTTTCATCGCCCATCACCATCCAGCAGGTCCCTCTTCGCCTCCTGTCTTCCCATCTCAAGCCCAGCATTTGGCTCGTCTCAGGGCCTACGTGCATGAGCCACTTTGAGCGTCTGGCCACAGCACTTTCCAATCTTGCTGAGGCGATCCGAGGAGTAGCTGAGGAGCTTGGCAGAGCGAGAGAATCTCCCCCACCGATTGCAAGTGAGCCCTTGCTTCCTGGAGATTGGGAGCTGATTGAAGACCAGTCCTCGGTCCCTGGTGAGCCATCAGACTACAACGCCACCCTTCGCATTGCAGTGGAGGACGGGCCACCTCCTACTCCGGAGTTCTGTCTTTCACTTGCTAGGCTGAAGCTTAGGTCGGCTCGGCGAAATCCGGAGGAGAGGGCGAGGGAAGCTTTTGTGGCAGGTTTTTGGTTCAGAGTTTCTTTGCTCGTCAGCTGCGCCTGGCCTTCGGAGTACAGCCCCCTCCTTCCTCCTTCTACGTGGCTTGTGAGGAGCGGCACAGGGATCAGTGATTTTGCCAGGACCAATTCCAGGCGTGAGGCAGAGAGATTTTGTGAGGACCAAGAGGGTGCATCAATCGTGGAGAAGTTTCCTTCTGTCACAGAGCTCCAGATCTTTTGTGCAGGAGCCCAGTTGCCAGTCCCACCGTTGGTGCAATGGAAAAGAAGGAACTGAGGTTCAGTGATGCCCAGGCACCCAGCCTGCTGGTTTTTGAAGTCCCAGCTTTGATTGCAGCGGGTGGTGAGCCTTTGTTTACGTTGGCACTCCCTCTGCTTAAGAGGCAGGGTGGATTCCTTGTGGCATTTCCCTGTGGAGTCATTGACCCAGAGGCTTTTCCATCTACCCCAGCAGATGAGGATCAGATGCTGGGTTTAGCCCGTACGTTTGAAGGGCTGGCTTTGTATGAGGAGGAGGAGACTGAAGCGGGAGGGCTTCAGTTGATCCCTACGGGAACGTCCTGCTCAGTCGTAGTTTGCGACGTGCTGGACTCAATTTTGGTCTATCTGCGGGAGTTTGACCCCATTACAGATTCGCAAGTCGAGCTGGTTCCATTTGATGAGGCTAGACCTGCGGCAGTTCCAATGCATGCCGAGATCACACCCCTGGCGCTGGAATGGGCCAGGTCTGAAGTTGAAGGGCGTGTCCTTTTTTACAGCGCTCGAGAAGAGCAGGAGCCGCCTGTTGCCCCGGCGCCCAGAACAGCAAAGAAGGCTACAGCGAAGAGGGTGACCACGGCCTCCCTAGCAGAGCAGGTCTCAGCCCTTTCTGCCCAGATGAGTTTGCTTTTGAAACAGCAGGCAGTGACAGCGAATGGACCTGCAGCCATCAACCCTGGCCAACAGTCCCCTATTGCAAGTCCTGCTGCAGGGCGCGGAGGTATAGGCGGAGGCTATCGGGTGCCCCCAGTCAGCCAGATGCTTTCACCTCCACCAAAGACCGCCAACGGCGCACCACTGGCCATATTGGGGCCGCCTCCAAAGGTTCGTCAGGTGCCACCACAAGTTCCTCTCCCTGCCGAGGAGCCCTACGACATTTTGGACGAGGGGGCCCTGCCAGATACTACGGCTGCAGTTCTTTCTCAGCAGTCAGCAGCATTGACAGCTTTGGTTACCCACCTGGTGGGCCAAGACAACCCGTTGGATCTCAGCGGGACGATTGGGACCGCCTCGAGTTCAACGAAGGGCACAATGCGCCGCGAGAAGATGCAGCAGGAACTGGCAGGACGCAAGTCCAATTTCTTTCTGCAGATCCAGCAACAGATTCACAAGAAAATGTATCCATCAAGGATGCTTCCAAAGACGGAGGAGGAGCTATCTCAGGCCCAGGTGTCACTCATGGCATACTTGGAGCGATATGGTGGATACAAGGGACAGAAAGAAGCAGGGCTTTGTATGTGGATTTTTGCACATGCAATGGATTCAGCCTCAGCGGGAGACTTTGTGGCTACCAAGGAATTTTTAGCTTTGGGGGTCATGGCGTTGGAGCAGAGTGTCTTCGATGCGGGAGATTGGTCACTTGCCTACGTTTTGACGATGGCAGAGGATCCCCCAGCTACCATGTTCAGCGAGAGGATGAGCTCGCTAACAGCGGCAGGCCGTCCTTTCTCGCCGCTGGTCCCGCCAACTTTGGCCTCGACCAATTTGGCCTACATCAAAGAGCTCGAGGTGCTCTCCACCAGACGTGCCGAGACGCGCACAAAGAAAGGAGGAGCTGGAAGCCCTTCGCAAGCTGGCAAGAACAAGGACGCGGAGGAGGAAAATCCCAGCCCAAAGCGCCGGCCTCGGTATCCCAAGAAACCGAAGGCCATTGCCGACGGCTAGACATGCCGTCAGGCAGCATGATGCTACCTCAGGCAAATCACAACATCAAGCGCCAAGAGGTAGCAAGGAATTCAGAATTCAATCGGTACAGTGAGGAGGAGTTTTTTGCCCCCCCTCGGCAACAACAAGCCGGCTCTGTGGCAACCCCCCCCGGCAATGTCCAGGAGGTGAGAGAGCCTCCGCCTGCTTCCGCAGGCTGTTCCCTTTCTAGCTATCAGTCCTGGTGTGCTAGGCTCACAACGCTTGTCCTCCGCACCAGATCTGCTTTTTCTGCTTTCCTCCATCTCTCCATCCAAGTCTCGAAGTTTGTTGGCCCTCGCGGCAAGCTTGCACCGGCCTTCTTCCCTATCCCAGTGCCAACTCCTGGTATTTTCGATAGGATGCCTGCACGTCCATCTCGCAAGAAGCGACAGTCTATTTTTCTCAGCCGTGCTGTTCACGTCATATCCATGGCAATGAATTTTTGGCATTTTGCTGGGTCATTTAGATCTCAGGTGGACTTGTGGAGGAGCCCAAACCAACTGCACAGGAGGTTTTTCAGTTTTGTTAGGGCTCTTATAAGGTCGGACGGCCTGACTGCAGAATTTGACATGCTGCGCTCGGGACGTAAGAATCCAGATTTGCATGCAAGACTTTTTGATTTGATTGACGCCTTCCAGAAGCAGGGATGTTCAGCGAATCCATATGACAGATCCTTTCAAGGGTTCCAAGTTCCTAGAGATGAGGAGAGGTTTCCAGAACTACAACCTTATAGGGACCTGGATCCCAGCAGACTCAAGCTTTCAGGCACTGGCCATTGGGATGCTTCAAGCTTTTTGAGCGAGAACCTTTTGATGGCCTACAAAGAGCCTCTTGTTCTTTGGTTGGATCGCACACCAGAAATATGGGAGTATCCCCGCCTGAGGGACAGTCAAGCGACTATACTGGAACTGGCTCATATTTGGGATTCCAAAGGGCTTCTGCTGCTTCACAAAGAAGGAGTACAAGACAGACGTGATTTTGAGAAGGTGAGGATATTCAATGCGTACAAGAACGCAACCACTGACAGACAGATTGGTGATCGCAGAGGCCGCAATGCAGTAGAGGCTGTTGTGAAAGGGCCCTCTCATAACTTGCCCTCCGGGGCGGATTTGTGTGACCTGGTGGTAGATGTGTCTTCACAGACCCTAGCAATTTCCATTTCTGACAGAAAGGACTATTATCACCAAATCAAGGTCACTCAGAAGAGAGCTGTTTGCAACACATTGGGGCCGGGTTTGCCTGAAGAGGCTGTTTCAGGCCTCCAGGCCTACGGCAACTTCTTGCTGAAGGCTTCAAGCAAGCGCCGCTATGACCGTCTCAGGGACGGTGACCGCTTAGGCCACCAGAGGAGGCCATTGGGTTCACCAGATGATGGTTTGATATGGGCAGCCTTCAACAGTATTCTGCAAGGCGACCATTGTGGCGTGGACATAGCTACAGAGGCACACACTCAATTGCTGCAAGACTTTGGCCTTCTGTCACAAGATATCCAGTTGGTGGCCAGCAGGCCTTGCAGACACCCTTCGATAGCGCAGGGCCTTGTCATAGATGATTTTTTCTGCATCTCTGTCGAGGATCAGGGCACTCCGGCCCCACAAACATCTGCTTTCAGAGCCTATCAACAAGCACAGCAAGCATACAGTTTTGCAGGGCTTTTGGGGTCGCCAGAAAAAGATCTTTGCGCTGTCAGTGAAGGCAAGGCCATTGGGGCGTACGTCAACGCCTCTGATCGTGCCCTGTCAAGAGGCTTGTGCACAGTGGGGGCGCCAGTCGAGAAGAGGTTGTCCCTTTCAATTCTTTCTCTACAACTGGCGCAGCTGCCTTTGACTACTTTTGGAATGCATAGCTGCGTCATGGGCGCTTGGGTTTCAATGATGATTTACAGACGGCCTTTGATGTCAGTGTTTGATCATGCTTTTAGGTTGGTGGCCAACGAAGATGTAGCTACCAACAATCATGTCACAACCCAGCAACCGAGGGCAGTGGCTCAGGAGTTAGCCCTTGCAGCGGTGCTTGCGCCTCTCATGCTGAGCAACGTGGCGGCCAAGTTCGACACGCACATCTACGCCACAGATGCCTCGGAGAAAAAGGGGGCTGTTTGCAAGGCTGTAGCCAAGCCAGAAGTGCAGGAGGTCCTCTTCAAAAGCTGCAGGACCAAGGGAGCCTATACCAAACTTCTCTCTCCAGTGCAGGCCCTCTTGAAAAAACTGAATGAATTTCACGAAGAACCAGAGGAACCTCAGTTTCTTCCTGAGCCCAAGCCTGGCCGCCCTTTGGCCTTCATGTTTGAGTTTTTGGAGATTTTTTCTGGAGCGAGCAGGGTTACTGAATTTGTGGCTAGTTTTGGAGTCACTTGCGGTCCTCCTATTGACCTTAGCAGATCAGAGGAGTTCAACCTCAAGCACCCACACCTGGCTGAGTGGATCACACACCTACTGGCTGAGAAGGTTTTGAAAGCAGTTCTTTTGATGCCACCTTGCACAACTTTTTCCATCATGAGGCGTCCAGCCTTGAGGGACAAAGATTATCCTTTTGGTTTTGACCCTGCCGACGAACAGACTAGCGTTGGGAACATTCTGGCGCAACGCTCTTTTCAGATTGGCTGGACAGCAGCTGCGAATGACGCGGTGGCGGTTATTGAGAAGCCCCACTCTTCCAAGATGAAGTACCTGCCTTCATGGGAGGACTTATTGGAACTCCCCTCAGCAAGTCTGGTAAGAGCAGATTCGTGTCAGTTTGGATCAATACACCAGAAGAGTTTTTCCTTCCTTGGAATCAACGTGGATTTGTCCGCAGTTGGAAGAAGGTGCAAGGGCCTTTGCAACCATGTACCAGTGCAAGGAAGTTATACAAAGGCCTCTGCACCATATGAGCCTAGGTTGGCGTACGCACTTGCACATTGCCTCGCCCACAGCGTTTTCCAGATCAGAGCCAGAGAAGCCAGCCTAGATTTTCTTGAAACGGCAGGCCTGGAGAACCAGCTCGTGAATGAGGTGATGCTGACATCCTCTTGGGAGCTACAGAAAGTGTGGGCTTTCGGGAAGCCCAGCCATATCAACCTACTGGAGTTGAAGTCGGTTGAAGGCCTGGTTGACGACCAGATCAAGAAGACCAGGTCTCTTCGCTTTGTCTCACTGGTCGACTCCAATGTTTCCAGAGGAGCTATAGGGAAGGGTAGATCAGCCTCCAAGGCTATAATGGCGGTCCTGAGGAGAATCAATTCAAAGCTTGTCTCCAATGATCTCTATATGGTCACCCCTTTTTGCCCTACACGCCTCAATTCAGCAGATGACCCAACGAGAGACCGTGAATTGAGGAGCCCATTGGTAGGTCTCTCCAATATGAATCTCTCTCGCGATGAGCTTTTTGATTTGGCTCTTTTTCCCACCACTTGCAGGTGGGCATCAAATTGGGTCAGACTTCTTCTCCTTCTGTGCTCTCCCAGCATAACACGTCTCAAGGACAGGTCAATCTTCAGACAGACTTCTATTGGCAGACTCCGACCCGACTTCCAGAGTTGCCCAGATTTGGATTTTAGCTGTTTCGATTTTGACAGCACTCTGGGTTCCCAGGCGAAGGCCCTCCAGTGGTTTTGCCAGGCCGGGTTGGAATTGGATTTGGTTTTTTCCGGCACCTTCCCTGGGTTCTCACCGTCATTTTCCTCCTTTGTGTTCCTTCCTCTCATTTCTGGGTGCTGTCTTCGTTTTGCTTCTCTCTCTTGCTGGGGCGCGGGGTGTTTCCTCCGTCTTCTTTCTCCTTCCTGGGTGCTGCAGTGCTTTGCTTCGATTCGTGCGCCGAAGCCATGGTACTGGGGCCAGTGACTGGTTTGGAGCATCGGAAGGCTGAAGAAAGGGCATCCAGACCGATGCTTCCGGAAGGCCGCCCAACATTAGAAGTGACATCAAAACTGCGACAGAGGTACTGGAAGCTTTTCTTGGATTGGACGCTGCAGCAAGGAATTGATTTCGAGGCGCTACTAGCCTCTTACCATCTGTATGTGGAGGATATCAATACTGTAATGGTCCGATACGGCAGGGAACTCTACAGTGCTGGAAAACCATACTCAGTTTTTGCAGAGACAATAAATACCCTGAGCTCAAAGAAACCAGTGTTAAGAAGGCAACTGCAGGGTGCATGGGACCTTGCTTTCAGTTGGGTTCAAGCTGAGCCGTCGGCTCATCACGTGGCTATGCCCTGGCAGATCCTTCTTGCCATGACAACGGTAGCTTTGGCCTGGGGTTGGCCCAGAGTTGCAGGGTGCATTTCTTTAGGATGGGGAGCCCTACTACGGGCAGGCGAGATCACCGGTGCATACAGACGTGACTTGCTGCTGCCTAGAGATGTAGACTCTACCATTCGATATGCTCTTCTTGCACTACATGAGCCAAAGACCCGGAATACGGGCCCAAGACATCAAGCTGCAAAACTAGATGTGCCCGACCTCTTGGAAGTCACGGACCTCGCCTTTGGGGAACTGCCAGAACATTTTAAGTTGTGGAATCAATCTGGACAGAGTCTGCGTTTACGTTTCAAAGATATACTACGTGAGCTCTTATTGCCTACAGAGAAGCTAGCTGGCTTAAAACCCCTGGATTTGGGCTCCTTGAGAGCTGGAGGTGCCACATGGCACCTACAAACCACGGAGGATGGCGAGTTTTGCAGACGCAAAGGTCGCTGGATCAGTCAGCGCATTATGGAGGTTTATGTGCAAGAGACTTCAGCTCTTGTCTATCTTAAGAAGATTTCAGCAGACAGCAAAACTAAGATTTTGACACTGGCCAGTTTATTCCCAACTGTTCTTGCGCGTTCCAAAACGCTGAAGCGAGCAAAGGTGCCCGAGAAAGTCTGGTTTATCCTCCACCAACAAGAAGACCTTTGGAGGTAGTGGGAAGTGCGGGTGATCAAGCTACTGCCAATGACCTGCAGTAGCCTGTGCAACAAACGAGACTGCTGGAGAAAGAAACGGTGCAACGGAGTTGTTGTGAATAACTGCGACATGAAACCTTTCCTCTCAAGGTCTCCCGACCCAATCGTATGACCCACCCAACTTGTTGGTGGAGGGGTGATCAAGCTACTGCCAATGACCTGCAGTAGCCTGTGCAACAAACGAGACTGCTGGAGAAAGAAACGGTGCAATGGAGTTGTTATATATATAGAGGTATGGTATTTTGCCCTGAATTAAACACATAAAAATCATTAATCATCATTAATCATCATTAATAATCATTAATCATCATTAATCATCGTTAATAATCATTAATAATCATTAATAATCATCGACAATCATTAATAATCATGAATAATCATGAATAATCATGAATAATCATTGATAATCATTGATAATCATTGATAATAATTGATAATCATTGATAATGATCGATAATCATTGATAAAAAATAATAACCATTAATAATCATTAATAATCATGAATAATTATGAAGAATCATGAATAATCATGAATAATCATTAGTAATCATTAATAATAATGAATAATTATTTAAAAAACATTACTAATCTACAGATATCTATAGTATTTTGTGTGTCATTGGGATTTTCAGGGAAGGATCAGTCCTCCATCTTTACTGGACGGACTCTCCAAGCTGGCAAGCCGTTCGAGAGATCTCCGGAACTACCAAGGGGGGCCAGGGGCATCTGCGGGCAGTTGCATAAGTATTCTGAGTATCCCAGGGAATTCTCGGGTGAAGCGAATATTTATGGAAATCCCAATATATATATATACACACACATATACTGATCCGATCTATCCCATGATTTTCCAGAGTATTTTGCAGCATCAAGAAGCATCTACAGGTGGTTTCTTATGAAATTTTACTTAAACCACTTCTAGACAGGTAGATTCCAGACTGGGTGTGTTGACCTGTTGTAATCCCCTCGGACATCCATCCTGGTAGTGCGGGATCACCGATGGCATTGACCTGACAGCCACATCTTTTGTTTATCAGCCTGAAGGGGCAGCTGTTGGAACTGGCGGCTTTGAGGGACCAACTGTCAAGAAATGCTGAACAGTTCCTCCTTTATGACTGCAGCTGCAAGACATTTTTGGCCGTACGGCCCTCCCACCATTTTTTTTCGTTTTGGAGGTGGGAGAAGAGCTGTGACAGATGGATTTCTAGAGTTGACCCGCAAGGGCAGCTGCCATGAGTTGGGGAAGACTGACGACTTTCGACGACAATTCTCAAGGTCTATGGCATCTATGGTGAGGGGATAACCCCGCTTTAGTGTTGGATGTTTGTTCAGCGTCAGTTGGTGACAGACATCGAAGGTGATCAGTCTTCTAGGTTTGGCAAAAGATGGGTATACCATTGGCTTCCACTGATGAGAAATTTTTGGTTTGTTCTTTGGTATCACGCGCGCAGCCACAGAGATTTCAACGAATTCAGACAGCTGTGGAGCTTCATCAAGCCAGCGGACAAGGCTGCGCTCTGTTCCCATGTGAAATTTTATCGATGGGTTAAAACTCAGCATGTACAGTAGATTGAATATCCACTTCCAATCGCATATATATATATATCCCTTGAATATATTATGCATGATTACATAATCCAAGTCAAAAAGTATATATAAAATCACTCAAACTTTGCATGTCGCATCCATCCATCCATCCATCCATCTATCTATCTATCTTTCTTTCCTTCCTTCCTTCCTTCTTTCTTTCTTTCTTTCTTTCTATCTGTATATAATGACTTTAGTGTTCGCCAGGCTAACACACTTTGATCCAACCCTGGTTGATCAACGGTTCAACGGTTGCTGGTGAATCACAGCTTGGAAGTCTTGAACTGTGAGGGATTTTTGCCATTCCAGACTCACCGCAGCTCTGAAAGCTCGGAACTTGTGGCTTGTCCCACGGCGGCTTGCCTGTCTTAAGAACACCTCGACAGCTGCAGAAATTTGGATGGAGTGCAAGACCAACGGTTTTTCATGTTGTTTTTTTCCTATTCAAACCACCTATTCAAGAATGATCTTGGGGTCCGAATAGTCAGAAACCCCCATATTTGGCGAGGGGTCCCTGAGACATACCTGTGTCACCTGCGTTAACGTGCTGCGTCTCGCGAGGCCCATTTGTGACAACTTCAATGGCTCGGAACAGGGTTCTTCTGTGATAACAAATTGGAGGGTAAACCCTTCAGAATCCCTTCAGATCTCTTTTGCTTGTAACTATATATATATACGTATACAAGTATGACATATTATATTATATATATATGTATATTATGTTTGTATATAATACCATATGAGTTTATATAACATATATTTCCTCATTCTGTTCCATTGGGAAGAAGCATGAACAAGCACTTTTGACTTAGTTTTGTTCAAAAGGGCAGATTGTTTCACAGGGCCAGATGGTTGTCACGAGTGTGACAGTAGCTGGATCAGAGTCACAATGTACCACGTGTGCAGAGTGCTGGAAATGCAAGGAGAGGCTGTGGAACTGGACCTCCGAAAACTCAAAAAAGATTGGAGATCCTCCGGAGGAGAACCACAATTTCAGGGGCATCAGCAAAGATTCTCTGACTCACGGGCTTTGCATTTCCCAAAGCACAAGCTGTAAATGTTTGGGTCGTGCAGGTACGCGTCAGCCCGATTTTTGGTCACCGACACCCAAGACACGACGGTCACCATGGAAAAACAATTCATGGTCATCATGTGATCATAGAAAAAACTCAGCTTTGCCAACGGGGCTGCGGACGGGTCTCAAGGATCCAGAAGAAAGGAGAGCGAGCAATCTACCAAACACATGTCAAAACATTGCAATTCTCCAAAATACAACAATTGTTGGTTGACTTTTCGGGAAACCCATTGTCTTTTAGGGCCCTCTCCACTCTTGGACACCCGGATGTGGGTTTATAGGTGTGGTCATTTTTTGTGTTTGGTCCCTGCTGTATCTATCCCAATCATCCATGTGTGACTTGTTCCCACATGATGCCAATTCGTGTTGGGTATCCAGATGACATGATGCAACATTTCTTGCCTTGATATCATTGTTCCCCCCAAACCGATCCCTAATTCATGTTTGCAAATCCGTTAATCATCGGGGTAAATCTAAGATACTGTATATATCTGGGTAAATTATAACGACCTCACTGCGATCTCAATGGAATGATGCTTAGTAAGGGGATCTATTTTAATTTACCCACATGGGGATTTCCTAAGGTACCCCAAATCATCCAAAATTAGACCATCTTAGTATTGAAACTAATGGCTTTGGGGTAACCCAATTTCAAGAGTTGGTTGATTTTCACATCGTAATACCAACCTACCTGGCGCAATAGGGATTCCTACAATTCCTACAATACGGTGTGGACATCCATTTTTCATCAACCCTCTTCAATCCATCAATCAACTATCTACAGGGATGACATAACAGGGCTTTCACCACTGTTCACAAGGTTCAAATCGATCACTGTGCATTGCTCTAGTGGAAATCGAGATCAAAGATCTAATCCAGTTGAGTCATCTTTTGATCTCACTGGTGGTCACGTCCACCCACTGGAAACCATCTCCACCCACTGGAAACCATCTTACCAAATGTTTGGTTCCTAAAGACTAACCCTATGGCTGATGAAAGGGTATTGTTTCGGCTGGCCCCATTCTGAACCCAGGGTTTCAAATCTTTTTCGTCAATGTTCAGGAAATCATTTTGAAAAATACAGTATCCGCTGAAGAACAATTTTTGCTGATTTGTGTCTTTCTTGGAGGGCCCTATTTGAAACGCTGAACAACATTCTAACCCAGCTGTTATTGTCTACTTGCCAAATTTTCAATGGAATACACGAGTAGGGGGGCGAACCTGAAATCCCCCTCTGCTATACAGTAGATGATATCCACCCAACAAATCTATGAAAAATCAAGTCAAGATATGTATATATATATATGCATATGGTAGCACCCTCCAAAAAGATGGAAGTTCGTAAAATCCAGTCCCAAAGTAGTCATAAATTATATATATACACACATTTTTCTGAATGCTTTTGCGTCCGACTCCACACATGGTCATTAACCATGGAGTAGGGTCATAATCATAGGCTACCAATTGGTGCGTTGCACAACCATAGCTTAACAACACAGTTTAAAACAAGCCAGCTATATATCGAATATGTACCCAGTAGTATCTGGGTTATACCCAGCCAATATGTATAGTGCACAATACAATGTATATGTATATATGGTATATATATATGTTGCATAATATAATGCATGTTACAATATATGCATAAATTATGCAATATGAAAATATATTGCATATGTATGGCATATATAGAAAATATATGATATATGATATGATATATGATAATATATATATACATAGTATATATATACATATATTTTGACAGTTAATATAGCATATATATATATAGCATAAATATATAACATATATCTATCTGGCTACCTATCTATCCATCCATCCATCTAGCTGTCTAGCTATCTAGCTATTAATCTATCTACCTATCTGTCTGTCTACCTATCTATCTATCTATCTATCTATCTGTCTACCTATCTATGCATCCATCTATCCACCTATCTATCGACCTATGTATCTACATATCTATCTATATCTATCTATATCTATATATCTATCTATCTATATCTATCTATACCTATCTATCTATCTATCCTATATCTATCTATACCTATCTATATATCTAAATCTATCTATATCTATCTATATCTATATCTATCCATATCTATCTATCTATATCTTTCCATATCTATCTATCTACCTATCTATCTCTCTACCTATCTATCAATCTACCTATCTATCTATCTCTATCTCTATCTATATGTATATGTATATGTATATCTATATCTATTTATATCTATCTATATCTATCTATACCTATCTATATCTATCTATATCTATCTTAATCTATCTATATCTTAATTTATCCATATGTATCTGGATCTATCTATATCTATATCTATCTATATCTATCCATATCTATCTACTTATGTATCTATCTATCTATCTACCTATCTATGTACCCGTCTACCTATCTACCTACCTACCTACCTACCTACCTATCTATCTACCTATCTATCTGCCTATCTATCTACCTATCTATCTACCTATCTATCTACCTATCTATCTACCTATCTATCTACCTATCTATCTGCCTATCTATCTACCTATCTACCTAGCTACCTATCTACCTATCTATCTGCCTATCTATCTACCTATCTATCTACCTATCTATCTGCCTATCTATCTACCTATCTATCTACCTATCTATCTACCTATCTATCTGCCTATCTATGTACCTATCTATCTACCTATCTATCTATCTACCTACCTATCTACCTATCTACCTATCTATCTGCCTATCTATCTACCTATCTATCTACCTATCTATCTACCTATCTATCTGCCTATCTATGTACCTATCTATCTACCTATCTATCTATCTACCTACCTATCTACCTATCTAGCTATCTATCTATCTATCTATCTACCTATCTATCTACCTACCTACCTATCTACCTATCTATCTGCCAATCTATCTATCTATCTATTTATTTATCTACCTACCTACCTACCTATCTATCTATTTATCTATCTACCTACCTACCTACCTATCTATCTATGTATTTATCTATCTACCTACCTATCTATCTATCTACCTACCTATCTACCTACCTATCTATCTATCTATCTATCTATAGATAACCACCAACCAAGTGATATGAAAAATGAGCGGGGCTCCAGGACCTCGAGACCTGGGCGGAAGATCGTCTACGCTTGGTGGAGGATTTGGCCACGGAGTCGTCCGGGCCCCGTGGACCCCTTTGGATTTTTGGCCAAAAAATGGGGGATCCATGGGGATTGACCACCCATGTTTGGGCCGAAGACCGACCAGCCTAGTGTCGATGAGGCGCGAAAGCACTGCGGAGATACGATCCTCGATCCAAGAGGCAGTTCTCGGTGGGGTGTGACTGTTCTGGCAAAATCCCAATCCAGTTGGCAAAATATTTTAGCAATTGTTTCCCCAATGTTTGTTGGTTACTTTATTTTCCCAAACGTCTTGTCCTTGGTATCTTTTGTTTGACATTGTTCCCAACCAACAATCAGTTTGGACCCGTGGTTCTTGGTATGTAAACATATATAAACTGTTTCGTTTTTGTTGGTAATCATGACAGCAACATTTCCAGCTAGAAAGGATGAACTTGAACCTCCCATGTTTGATGCTTGAACATCCAACTTTTGTTGGTTTGCACTTTGCATTTCTGTAATTGCTAGCAAAAATTGCTGAATTGTTTTTGCTAGTTATTATAAAACGGATTGTTCTCATTTACTAGTTATCATCATCATCATCATCATCATCATCATCCTCATAATTATCATTATCATTATGTATTATCAGGTACACGCACTAGAATATCGTACATCATCAGCAATTATATATTAGAATCATTGTAAAAAAAATATACATACACATTTATCCAAATATATATTTTCTAGAATTCAGAAATTGGCACAGAGCCACTTTAAGAATATAATGTACATACACACATATAGATATATATATATACACATAATTATATGTATAATGATAGACACGGTTCAGCAACTCACCAGGCCCTTCACCTGGGCGAAACCCCCGAGTGCACTTTCTCAGTGGTCCGGGGGTGGAGGAGCTGAAGGATAGCTGGGTCAACATAGAGCCAACATGTATATCTATATTTATATGTCATGTATATATGAATGTATATATATATGTAATAGATATGATGGTGAAGTCAACTAGGTAGCATATGCTGGTAAGCATAAATAGAGAGATACACAGATGGTTGGATGGGTCTCAATCAACGACAGCTGGGGGTTGAACTACCAGAGATGCTGAGAGAACTAACGTGCCGCCCAGTTGACACCTGGTGGCTATCAACGATACCCGATTTGATGATGGCATTATGGAGGTTTACCTGAGGTTTTTCATGGAGAATGGCTTGTTGTAAGTACATATGGGGCCCCATTTCCCAATCATCTCTGATCGGCAAAGCCTGGGTGCTTTGAGCCACTGGTGTTTGTTTCAGGTAGGGGATTGAAAAGGACGTTGTGAGTCAACCACCTTTTAAGCGTCAGTATAGGCGGCATGTGAAGATCCCGATTCTTGCTACCTTAATCCATTTGGATGTGGGTCAAAATGGAAAACCTAGGGGACCACAGATGTTAGTCTAGTTTAGTATTAACCATCCAATTATTGGGGTACCTAATTTTGACCCATACCCATTTTTTGGCAGATTATTTTGGCATCTTTGTTCAGTGAAGTCCAACGTCTCGTTGGATGAACTCTATCTTGTGTGGCTTAAAGGCTAAATGCAAGTGTTTGTTTGTAATACATCCAAATACTATATTGGCTTCATCTATCCGATATCTATAGCCATTATGTTCTGTTTTCCCAATCTCATATATTGCTGATTATCCCACATCTGTATCCATTATATAGTTACATCCCTCTCTCCATCACATCCCGATTTTCCCTCATTAATCCCTTCCCGTATTGCTAAACACTCTGGATTTACGCACATATTTTGGACCATCTAGAGGGTGTTTAATATTGAGTGTGTTAAATCGCTGTGGGTCCACGCCTTTTATCGTTTTTTTTTTAAAGCATTGTTTACATGGTGTTTTTTTTTCAACAAATTTTACCCTCTGGCAAACTAACATAACTATGGAAAATCACCATTTTTTATGGGAAAATCCACTATAAATGGCCATTTTCAATAGCTATGTTAAATTACCAGAGGGTATCATTTTTCACTGTTCCAATGACAAGACTCCCTTTTTTGTTTTCCCATGACATTGACAAGACCTCCATGTAGTTTGGGGGATTTGCTCGCCTGGTTGATGTTCAAAATTCCACCCCCATGGTTCAGCGGTTGAAAACCCTATTGTTCGCTGGTTAAATCCCTATTTTTGACAAAAGTGCCGCAAAAACTAAAGCACAAAAAAAAAGCACTGCAAAACCTGGAGACCCACAGCGTCACGCACTCTCAATATTAGGGGGGATGGGATTATATCATTAGTAGTATATTCATTAGTTGATTACTATACAAGCCACAACTAGTAAATTGTAGTTCATTACTATAGAATCCATTTATCTCATTCATATCCATTAGTCATCAACTTGATTTTCACTCCTTGGCAGTTTCAAAAAACGCCGCGCTGAGGCGTCGCGCGTTGGGTGCAGTGGCCGAGTCGGGCAACACAGATCTCGATGCAGTTGGTGGCTTCAATCTTTTGAATGGCAAAAGGTTGGATTATACAACAAGAAACTACCTATTGGGGTAAACTAATAATCAGATTGTGTATGACCATTGCATGACCATTTGGTGTGGCATGGGGCTACCAACATGATATGGGTTTGCCCAGAAATGGGAAATTGGACTTGAGGGGTACCCAATTTTTGGTCAAACACATTTTTTCAGAAAACACAGAGATTGAAGTGGTCATAGAAATGGTATCAGCCGTTTCTTGCCTTTGAGACTACTTGCTGAGAATTGCAAGTTTAGAGTGAACAAAGCTGAAAAATTGAAGTCACTTAAGCAAGCCGAGAATTAGTTTGATACTGAAAGATTGTCGTTGCAAAGGCTCACAACTTCGAATGCCCATAGATGCCATACTCTCCAGTGTCATCAAAGGTGGCAATGGAACATCTCCTGTCAATGGAAAATCATCAAATTTCAGGAGTCATCTGACCCTGCAGAGAGAGCAGATCCGGGAGGCGGCAGCGTGCCATGGGGCCATGTTTCTACCATGGCAATTTTCCATGGAAACTGATGGTTTTTATTCAATGGAATGGGGTAGCCTATTTCCAGACAAACCCATGTGAAGGCCACATTCCACATGAACAGTTCGGATTGAATGTGTTGTGTTGAGTGAAACATTTTCGTAGTTGTTGTCACACAATCATATGCAAATGTGGAGGTAGATGGGTGTGAATAGCACAACTGAAGGTGTCTTCCCCTATAGTAAGATGGTAAATCCATAGTTTCCTGCGGCGTTTCCTGCATATGTTCCCTTCAACCTACCCATTTCATCCTTACCACTATTTCTTACACAACCATGTGCGGTGGTTCCGAAGTTGGTGGGTTTTAGCCGAACATTTGCTTTCAAAACCTTGGGAATTTTCGTCCAAACTTTGGGCCCAAAGAGCTGTCGCGACCTGTCGCTCCATCTGCTTCCGCGTTCCGCTTTCATCCCTCCTTCACCATGGACGTTGACTACGAGGATGATGCGCTTGAGGCGGGGCCGAAGGGTGGCGCAATTGCTGGTGGATGTTTGATTTAAGAACGGTGGGTCCCAGTAACAAAAATCGGTCTGGTGCCATCCAACTTTGACATCTAAGAAACTTGTGTTGAACTACGACAGGAACATGGTGCCATGTCATGTGGCAACTGGCAACTAGACCTTGGGGCGACCAAACTCGGCCCAAAGACCTGAAGCTCCCCAGCAAATATGGTAATACCAGGCAAGTATCCCATGAATTTTTTTTGTAATTCGTACTCGTAGAATGTTATATATATATATATATATATGCATACATTAGATTAGATTAGATTAGCCTAGATGAAATTAGATTAGATGAGATTAGATAGATTGATAGATAGACAGATAGGTGCATAGATGGATGGATGGATGGATGGATGGATGGATAGAGACATGCAGACATGCAGACATCCATCCATCCATACAGACTCGGAACCCAAATAACCCTTATTCCTATTTGTTTGTGATGGGCAATCCTCCCTTTTATGGGTCAAGTCGGCCAAGTCCTTCAAAAACTAACCGAGGTTTTGGTTCAAAATACATCTTGGATGATCTCTCCGTCTCTCTCGCTCTCTCTCGCTATACATGTAATATTAGGTGGATCCATAAAATGTCAACATGATATGATATGAAATGATAGGATATATATGTATATATATACTGTATATACATAGTATATTACATTTATATCGTCAATTGTGATGTATTTGAATGTACACAATATTTCATATCATATTGTCATATTGTGCTTTGTCTTCTCAGGAGGGAGCCCGACCTGCAGGACGACGTATGAAGGCACGCCGGGTGGGCTGAGAAGCGATTTAAAGGGGTCAGTTACCAGTGCGCATTTGTGTAGCTCATGTGTACTACAGATACATACTGTTTATCTTATACTTATACTTATACTTATATATAATATACATGTGTATATATGCATGTAAATATGTACGCACTATACACTATTGTCGGACGATAGACTCCACAACCACCGAACGCAGGCTATTTGTTGCCAAATTTTGCTTCTTCTCCCATTCGTTGCTGGTTTAAATCTACACACCACACTCACAAGAAATATCCTGGCCCTGTTTTGCAAGTTGTTGGAGATAAATTCTACATAGAACATTGCAAAAACAATAGTTTCTGTTATTGTTTCCATGTGTTGGTAGTTAATAAAGTTACATAAATAACATGAATATAGTTTACATCCATCACATCCATCACATCCATCACATACATACAATAATTAATTACAATGAATAATGGATTTATCCATGACGCCTTAAACTGCCCAGGGCCGCGGCGGCGAGGAAGATGACCGTTACGCTGGGAAGGTCGGGGATGTGGCCTTCAAAATCACCTTCTGGGTACCCCAAAAAGTCACATAAAGATATGAAATCCATATGAATCCAAATATATATATATATATGATATGTATATATATGTATGTATATACATATATACAGAAACAATATATATATATATGATATATATATATGATATATATATATGATATATATATATATATGATATATATATGATATATACATATATGATATATATATGATATATGTATAGATAATTGTAATTTATAGAGACAGACGAACACTGGGGATTTATCCTGATTGAATCACTAAACGTATGGGAAATCAGCAAGTTCAATAGTGGCTTTAATTGGGATATTGATGGGATATGATGGGGATAATTGTGCAAGAATGGAGGTTATTGCAGTACATCAGCAATTTTATGTGGAGAATTGGGATAGGAGAGCTGTGCTGTGTTGCAAATCCTTCTGCCAAAACCCCCACAAAGATGGATACAGCACATCTTGCTTCAGGTATGAGCCCAAAACTTGAGACCTGTCATCCAAAATGTGTCCCAAATCGACATTTTGTGGCGCCTTCTCAAAGACAGCACGGTATGGCCACACCTTCCAGGCCGGCAAGTTCGAGAGGCTGGATGATGACGATGCCTGGGGCCTCAGCCGCTGAACTTGGCTGTGGGTATTTGGAGTCTCCCAATCCCTCGAAAAGTGATGTTTTTTTTCCAAAAACCGTGCCTTGTTTTCTCTCTTGCAGGCCGAGATGCGAATGGTCAAAGTCGGAGAAGCTGCATCCGTCACAACAGGGTCGCCATTGCGTTTTCAAGCAGTAAATATTTGGACTCTGCATTTCAAGGCCAGAAAAGTGAGAGTCCTCTGTCAATCAGTGGCCGCAATGGTCGCCAAGGCCTTAACACTTAACATGCTTTCAAAAGGGAATAGAGACTCACATCTAACATCTCCAAAAATTCCCTCATAAGGACTCATCAGATTGCCAGAGGGAAGTTTTTTTATTTGCATGGTTCTTGCCCAACATACATCCATCATTTCCCGACCATGTTTTTATCGTTCCTCCCAGTTCCCAAAGGACTCAGAATCAAGAAACTTCAAGAAATCGCTTTCCTCAGCTTCGAAAAGAGACCCGAAAAAACCAGAGAAAAACCGGAAACACAACCAAAAAAAAACAGCAGACTTTCTCCACTTTCTCCCCAGATGTTCCCATGGCGCCACGTTCTTCGCGTCGCTTGCCTGGCGGCGCTGTCCGCCTCTGCTGGATTGGCTTCGGTGGCCTTCAACACCCAGGGCCGGCTGCAGCGGGGAAAGGCACCGACGACCGCGACAGCGAAAGCGTCCTGTCTGGTGCCGGTGTATCAAGGCATGTCCTTGCTGCAACAGGTGGGAGAAACATGGGAAGGTTGGGATTACCAGATGGTTTTTGGTGGAATATATATATATAATTATACATATACAAATCATATTACACACACTGTATATATATATTATAATATTTCGTCACATTTCCATTTTGTGAACAGTTTTTGTTATGTTTCTTCGTGGACTTCCAGGGAACCATCTTCCTTTCGAGGTTGGCGACCACATGGAACCGGTGCTGCTCACCGCACCGCTGCCGGGCGGTGAGGCGCCCGTGTGGCTGGGCCGCGGGGAGGGCGACTTGCGCGAGCTGCAGGAGAAGTTGGGGGTGGATCCCATGGATGGCGTCTTGGCGGATCCCATTTGAGATGATTGTAGGTGATTCCAGGTGGGTTATGGATGGTTATGGAGGTTTCTGAGGTTTCAGTCATGGTACCCCAAGTTAAAGAAACCTTAAGTTATTGGTTAGGATCAACGGGAAAACCAATGGCTTGGGGTACCCATCTTTTAGGGCACGTCCATATATACCAATCAACGATGATTAAACAACTCAGCTAACCTAAGTCTTCATTTTAGCACTCAAGTTCTGAACATTTCAAAATAGCTATCTTGGTTGAACGTTGGAACATGTTGCAAAGTTTAAGGATACCGTGCTTCAGCCAGATGGTGAACCCAGAGGCAGATCTTCACAGTGAATGGAGGGAGCGGTTCGGAGATATCGGATATTCCCTGTAAAATGGCTCGAGCCGTTTGGAGCGACCAAAAGTTTCCCAATCACATCATAGGACTTTTCTTTGTAGTTTAAGTGCTTTGAGGATTGTAGATTGAAGATTACTGTATCTGCAAATTTGGATTTAACTGCCATTCAAGGTGGTCCCCCCATGATTAGCCAAGTTGGGTTGTAGGTTTGTAACTCAAATAACTAGGATTTATGGTATATATGTACTGTACTTTAAAAAAAAAAATATAAATAACACCAACAAGACATAATGTCTGGGGGCACCACCATCTAGACAAGCTGAAAAGCTGAAATTTACCGCGGTTTGCCCGTTTTCAACCACTGACTCCCAGGTTTCTGGATGTTGGACCTTTCCCCGCTGCCCAGCGCCCCGAGCGCCGCGGTACTGGGCGTGTCGTCCAGCGCCCGCTGGGCGAAGTTGCGCGACCGCCGCGCCGTGCCGGCGCCGCTGGATCTGCTGGCGCCCGACTGCGCGGCGCTGCTGGCGCTGGCCAATGGCATGGCGCAGTGGCACCGCGGCGTGCGCTTCTGCGCCAAATGTGGAGGACTGCTGGTGACGGGGGATTTGGGGGATTTTTGTAGTTTTTTATATTTTGGTTGGGGATTTGGATGGCGATTTGGATGATGTAGTGGTTATGGCTCCAAACTTTGGGGTATCCAATCATGCCCAAAAAGGGGGTCAATCATTTTCAGTTATAGCCTAGCCAAAACCGGCTGTTAGTGAAGTCAGAGATTCTTTTTGGCATGATTAAGTTGGTGCATGTGATGTTTGAACCTTTCAATGATGGGAAACCCAAGACATCCCAAGACCATCTAAGACCATTCACGCGGGTAAAAACCCGCAGTACAAAATGCATATGGGTGGGGTGGGGTGGGGTGGGGTAATAACGCTCATGTTAACTTGCGCACCGACGTCATGCTACGCTAGGGTGATCTTCTCTTGCGCTTGCACGCACACGTCATGCTACGCTATGGTGGGGTGGGGTGGGTTGGATATATATATATATATATACATACATTTTAAGATATCCATTCATTGACTTTTACATATGCTACGTGTTCATGAAACTTTGATGCTCTTGTATATGACAACTTCACTTCTTCAAAGCTTGTCACTTCTGTAAACATAGATTGATAATTTTGCGGTGCCTGATTTTCACTTTTCTGCACATGAAGTTTGATTTGTTGAAAGACGAAATTTGTCTGCATGATGAGGCAAGCTGAAATTATATTGGAAAACGCAGGAAAATTAACATGCAAATGGCTGCGGAACATGAATAATAAAATCCAAGCAACAAGAAAAAAATGCTCTGATGCACGAAACGACGCGGGTTTCTATCCGCGTGAAGCCTAAAACCATCTAAGACCCCACCAACCAGGTGATGCTTATTTTATTTATTTATTTCTTTCTTTGTTTATTTATTTATTTATATATTTATCCATTTGTATTTTTTGATTAGGTTATTTACTCTAGAACTTCATTTTGTTTGTTTATTTACTTATTTATTTATTTATTTATTAACATCGTTTAATTTATCCTTTTAATGATGTTATTTAGTTTAAATATTTCGTTATCCAATATTATATGTTTATTAAGTTTATGAATTCATTTACACCCAAATTTGCCCATCTTCAATACATGCCCCATGACCCTGGGCTCGTTTCGCCCAGCCCAGGCCCCACCGAAGCGCACCGGGGCGGCCTGAACCGCCGCTGCAGCGCCTGCGGAAGCCGCTTCCGGCCGCGCGTGGATCCTGCGATGATCGTCCTGGTGACGCGCGGGGAACGCTGCCTACTGGGCCGCACCTTGGGTTTGTAGGATAGGAACGCTGCCTTGGGGGATAAGAAAAGCTAGCTGGGGATAGGGAAGTGCTACTGAATTTTAGAGGGGTTTTCGGTGATCAAACTCACTAATTTAATCTAATTTATGGGAAATGCTATGGGAATGTATGGGAAAAACATTGGATTTGAAGTGATTTCATGGGATTTAAGGCCATTAAACATGGGGAAGAACCAGGGAGATTACGAGATTACCAAGAGAAATGGGGATTGAACTATCAGGAAAACTGAAGATCGAATGCGGATATAATGGGGATATAGTTGTATATTGGATGTAGATATGGGATATCGAAAGCCAACAATATGCTATTCCAGTTCGTCTGTAGATCGGGGAATTGCCTGCAAGGTATGGGAATTTTAATAGGATAATGATGATTAACCAGTGGATTTGAGGGGTGAAACCCATACCTTTCAGAGCAATCCTGATGCTGGACGCGTAGAGGAAAAAACATGGTGGTTAAACCAGTGAAAATGGTGATTTGAGCAGACAAATGGAAGTTTGACCCACCTAAGATGTTTTTCTTGGCCCCACATGTAGTTCTTCCCAACATCAGATGAGGGTGTCGCCAGAAAAACATGGGAAATGAGGAGATGTCCAGAATCCTGTTGATCCAAGTTGGCCGCATGGCATCCAGCAGATTCATCCAAAATGGGGAGGCAAGAATAGTACTCTCAACTGGCTGGAAATAATATGAAATGATGTCCATGATTGATATGGATTTAATAGCAAGCGGCTGAGAGCTGGGGATTTCCAGTGCCAAACTATATAGATTCGCAGAGGGGAATAGTGTAATCTCCAAACAAATATGGCTTACAATGGGAGCAGATAAGCAGCAATGGTGGGCCTCTCAGCTGGAGAACTCCCTGTTCTACGATCAGAGTTGATCAGGATGCCATGGGTCTGCGGGGCCTGTGAACAGCAGAATCTGAGCGTAGATGAGAATTTGAAGATGTTAGTTAGTTAATTTATGTTAATTTAAGAGTTCATATCTCATGGAATCCCATGGATATTCCCCTCCCACTACAGTAGATCTGGTCGAGGCAAGGCCGTGTGGCCGCCTGGGCGCTTCTCCGCGCTGAGTGGCTTCGTGGAGCTCGGCGAAAGCCTCGAGGAGTGTGTGGTGCGCGAAGTCCGCGAGGAGTCAGGCGAGGGGGGTGGCCAGGGGGCGGGGTATGGGTGATGGGTGGGGGGTGGACTGGTAGGATAAACAATATGGAAAAACTCATGAACAAAAATATAGATCCTAGACTATGATCTAGACGATCTAGTGAGAATGATGAAAGCTGAAACTTGGAGTAGAAGGTGGATCTTGACCCTGGACAACAACGTTGCTATCTGGGATTATATATACCCCCATGCCAGTGGCAAAATGGACCACTGACCGCTTCAAGGAATTGGGATAGTAGGCTACACTCTTCCGTATTGCGCGTTTACAGTAGGATGCATCCCAGCAATATAGTCGGTTATCATCCAAATCGTCATTCTGCAGTGGTCATGAAATCTCGCATCAAATTATATATAACCTCCATTTAACTATAGTTCTATTTCCCATGAGCCCTAGTTGACCAAGTTACCAACTTAGCTAACGACTTGGGGTCCCACCTTGTTGTGTATTTCAGGCCGGGGCCTCCCTAGGACCTGAGCCCCAGGTGTACATGTATCCATCAGAATCCCTAGCCTCAGATGTGAACCGACATTTGTTCAGTACCTGGTTAGATTATGAACCAACCGACCTATTTTTTGGTGAGAAAACACATCGCGACACTTCAGAGACACTGCGGGAATCAGTTGTTTCAGTGTCGAAATTTGGTTGAATTCCCATTTTGGTTGGTGGAAAAAAAGCATAAATTTCCATGCTGGTTGATTTGGAACACCTTGGGGCACAAGTTTCTGCGGGATATCAGAGCTCCAAATGCTAAGTGGATCCCTTCAGCTTAGCCAAAGAACTCCAGCTTCACTGCTGTTATGGCCTCCCCAATATGGTTTAAAGAGTTCCCAATTTATGGATATTGGTTGGTTGAACAAATCGGTTCATATCAATTCACATTTTCACAACGATTCACAACGTCTTGTTGAGGTTTGTTCCCGCAACTTATCCCCAACCTATCCCCGTGGCGCATCCCCGAGGTGTCGCGGTGGACGCTGCGTCCATTCGTTTCGTGGCCTCCCAGCCCTGGCTCTTCCCGCGCTCGCTGCTGCTGGGCTTCACCGCCCAGGCGGAGAATGAACGGATCGAAGTGGACCAGGAGGAGATGGAGGTGCCATGGTGCCATGGTGCCATGGTGCCATGGGGTGCCAAAGGATTGCGAAGTTCGTTGACTTTACCCTACGAAGTTCGTAAAAACACGTGGTCATGGAGAATCCCTGATAGAAGTAGAGGTTTCAGTGGGAAGATCCTGTACAAATATGATCAAATATGTATAAATGGGGGGATTTTCAATTGCCACATTTGATTACTGGAGGGTAATGAAACCAAGAGAAACAACTGGGGGGTGCCTCACCTTGTGTTTGCTGGTGCGAGAGGTTTGATCTTTTAACTTTTAACATACGAACATATACTTGGGATTTAGCGAAAAATGGTGCTTTGGGGAGGTACCCATGGTGGTTGGGAGAGCTGCATCATCAATGAACAATTCTTTGGGATTTAAAAGCAGCAAGAATGGGATTTCCGGAGTTTTCAACCAGAAAAGTATGGAAATTAACTAGCAATATATGGTGGTTAAAGAGTTTTTTTGGGACCTAAAGGTTGGAGTTGTTACCAGGAGTATTGGGAGAACTTCTCAGTCACAAAACTCACAAGAGTTTGTGGGCCAAGTTAGTCAGTTCCTCAGTTGATACGGATTCAGTTCGATCATCCTTGTCCTCGCACAAGGATGTGCGATGGTTTGAAGCCAGCTACCTGCGCGCTGCCCTTGCCGACAAAGATGCGGCAGATGGGTTTAATATTCCTTCCAAGACCTCCTTGGCACATCGTTTGATCACGGGATGGTTGAAAGACGTCGAACAGCAGAGATAGAAAATGACAGAAATACTGCGCCGCGCTGGTAGGCTTCTCGGGCACCCTGAAGTTCCTCAATGGGCTGGAGAGTTTTGACATAATCCTCTAAGAAATTGTGTAATTAAACATGACAGCAAAAATCCGAACATCATTTCAAAGGACTCATTTCTCAGCCTCTTTCTGTGAGCCCAGCGACTCAGTTTCAGGACAGGAATCGACCAGCACTGGCTGGACGATGCATTGTTGGTAGATGTTCCGATTTGAACATGGCATTTCCCAGCCAGGTGCGTGTGATTAGCAGAGGGTATATCATCATTTTTGTCAGCTTGTATCCCCACATTTGTCTTGAAAAATATCCTAAAGTTTTACTGATAAAAAATCCCAAGATTTTGTCAGGCGCATCCTATGTGAAAATTCCAAGGGACTCCACTTGATTTGTCGCTTGAATCCCCAGAATTTGTTGGAGATTCAGCCGATGGCTGAGGACGAGACAGGTGCAGCTCGCTCCATTGAAGGATGGGTCATCATTGCCCAAGAGCCCAGTGTGACCGAAAGCGGTGCGACATCGCAGTTTTTGGTGGTTACCCTCTGGTTATGACTAACATAGCCATGGAAAATGACCCATTTATAGATGGTTTACCCATTATAAATGGTGATTTTCCATGGCTATGTTAAATAACCAGATGGTACATCCCAGATCATCCCAGTTTTTTCTAGATTCTTGATCAAGTCCGATGGTTGCTTGGTTCAATTCCCCATTGTCCCCATTCTTGGCTTCCATGGCCCCAAAGTTTGTGCCTAGGTGTCAGGCGTCCATGAAGAAGCCCAGGAGGACGGCAGTTGGTACCCGGGAGTCTTTGAAAGGAACCAATTCCAGCTTTGATGGATTTCACTAAGAACAACGGTGCTTTAAGTAAGTAGAAATGGGATTAGAGACAGAAAAATGGGATCTAACAAACTAAAGATGGGTTTTTACCAGCTTAAAATTGAGATTTTTGTGGATGGGTCGATGGCTATGAGGGATGAACATCCATGAACTTCGTGAGTTATAGGATGAGAAACCGTTGAGGTCGATATGTTCATAGAATCCAGCAAAATCTTCCAGCATTCCGCAATAATTTTAGCATTTTCTGAGTCCTTTTTTAAGGGTTGTTACTGAAAATCTTCTGTGGTTGCAGGTTTGTCAAATTGTAGCGGAGGTGAGAAGTGTTTTTTTTTGGGCATGTCAACCCCACCAAAAACATGGCAGGCTTCCGCAGATCAAAACTTGATTGGAGGGCCAGTTAGACATCCTTAAGATGCTTCCAGAGCTGAGTGGTTGCAGCCTTCGTGAGGATGACATCTTTGAGGCCTTCTCAGAGTACGGAGATATCAAGAACTTGTCCCCTGGCGATGGCTGGTTACCCGAGATGAAAAAAACATGGGGGGTTCCCCAACCCAAACACGGCAAATGTTTAGCGAACTATTTTTTTATGACCATATTCTGAAAAAGATAAGAACACCAACAATCACGAGTACGGATATTTGACGTTCTTAGTGATATTATATATTGGATCTGCAACTTTTTGAACGACAGCTGTTGAAAGTTTGTGTGGCTCGAGCCATGGGGCTCTGGATTTTCCCAGTTCCGGTTGGATGACCATCTCGAGTCCTTTTTCGGTCGAACGAAGATCCACAAGTTCCAAGATTTGGTCCCAATGTATCTGGGGAGAGTCCCCATTTTAATATTACCCTCTGGTTATGACTAACATAGCCATGGAAAATGACCCATTTATAGATGGTCTACCTATTAAACATGGTGATTTTCCATGACTATGTTAAATAACCAGATGGTAACTGTCTGCTCTTGGATGGGAATGAGGAATGCCATATTTTGCTGAGTACATCCTCCGCAAAGCAGTAAGAATTAAAGCATCGGTTAGGTACCGAATTAGATTTATTCTTGTGGAAGCCTATGCTTTTGAATGATGAGCGACCCATTGTTCGGCTTCACAACTGAGGCATCTGAATCTGGACCGTCGTACGGGCTTCGTCAAGGGCTATGCATTCATCGAGTATGAGAACAAGCAGGAGGCCCCCACAGATCTGAAAATGACGCCCGAAATCCCATGAATCCCATCCAAAATCCCATCCAAACCATGGCTCGCGTCAGGCCGATGTAGCCATCAAGTCCATGGATGGAAATACGCTGCTGGACCGGGTGAACAACAAGGGGATCCACCATCTTTGGCCATGGCTTCACCCCAAACTGGGACCAAAACGGCCAGATCCCAATGCTTAATCATTAAGTTGTCAGCAACTATGTCACCATATGTTATGAACTATGGCACTATGGTAAATGGAGAACATATTTACCATTCTCTATAGATATGGCGAAACTAAAGATGGATGTTGGTTTTCAATTCAATCCCATTAGAAGTTGGTTTATAAGTTTATAGCCACCATTATTTATAGATATATCTACCATAAACCATAGTTTCCATAGTTCACCTCGTGATTTCGACCATCCTTTGATCGCGACACGTCCAACCAACCGGCGCCGTCGTTGGAGGATCATAAGCTGGACGTGAGCTGGGCCTTCGCAAAGCCAGGGAGCAAGTGCCTGGGTCAATCACGGGACCGGCAGTGGAAACTCCAGCAGATTTGAATCATCCAATTGTGCATATGAACATGGATATTATATATATATAGTAATCAACTATATATATACAATATATATATATATAATATAGATATAATAGATATAGATAGATATGTCATTATATAAAAGCAACCATAATGGGATATTGATAGTAACGATAACGGGATATTGATCATAAGATATGATCTGAACGGATAATTCCATCCCCTATCTATTAAAGACCCCTCATGCTTAATGGGCCCAACTATGTGATTTTATCTTGTTTCACCCCCATACGAAACCATGGTTTCTGTTGAATATGAGCGGGGAATGGGTTTCGTAATTATCCAATTATCGACCCATATCTGTCATGTAGTCTATCTGAAACAACGGTGGTCTGTCAAATTCGAGTTTTCTGATAATCCATCGAACTTACATAGTATAGGGGGCCAGCAATTCCGCTGAACCACATCCAGGTTGATGACAGCCTGACGTTTGCCACCTCATTTGGTGAATCCTTCATACATCTCAGTTGTTGATGACATACTGACCGTACCGCTACATCACTCTTGGTGATACACAGTAATCCCCAATGCTTAATTTGTATATCCAAAACTTCCTATTATGATTAGTATCATTTATTATCATTATTACTACCAGCAAGAGGAAGGGTTTTGCCTTACATATATCATGATAAGACGCAGTTCCTGAATGCCTGCCTACCTCGAAAGCCCCGCAGCCCTGAGGAAGAAGGGCCGCCGATGAGCACTAGTAGAGAGCCACGGGCCAGTCAGTGAGATTTGGCGGTACCTTGCTTTTCAACGAGTTTAGGGCTATGAAACTTGAGAGAATTTCGAACTGTTAAGTTCGAGGACTGATGTTTGAAGATTTCAGCAGTTGGAAAATCCAAGTTTTGATGGCCCGTGCGCTTTTACGGAAGCATGTTTGGACAGATCCGTGCAGCGTTGGAACGCAATGACCAGGGCGTCACACCACAGAGCGTTCCAAAGCGTTGGGATATAAGCTGACGGCTCACTGCACCCCACATTTTGGCTGGATCATGACCCAAGAATGGTTGGTCATCAAGTTGTCATTCCACATAAACACCTGACAATCTGCGTTTGTGCCAAGTCTGGGGGCTCAAATTGCACACGAACGCGCGCTTTTGCAGACCTTCCCTGCGAGAGTCCCAAAGATGGTGGAGGAACGCATCCCAAATGGTACTTGGATGTTCATCCCATTTGGCTTCTAATCACCGATCATCCCATCCTTGTTATCCGAAAAAAAGTGGGAGATTTTCAGGAGGGCATCACCAGCATCCAAAAAACCACCAAGTAATCGGGGTGCACATCCAAGTCCAAGTAGGTGTGCAGGGGTGGAAGCAGCCGGATTTCAGGATGTCTTTAGGGATTTCGGTGGAGTTCTGATGTCTTCATCCTCATAATGCAATGTCGGTTGGTCAGACTTGATGGGTGCGCCCCAAAAATGGATAAAATTGCATATATCATATATCTACAAAAGAAACCAATTGGTTTCTAAGCTCCTAAAGTAGGCATTAAAAACAGTCTATTCTTATTGGTCAGAATTGCATTTCATTTATGAGACACATATTGAAACATTTCCATTCACACTTGCATTTCATATATGAGACGAGACACATATTGAACCATTTCCATTTTTTCCCAGTCTTGTTCGTAACCTGCGATTTTCTCTACGTGATATCAACATGTTCGCTCGGGAGTGCGAATGATTTGCGCATTTGATTCGTCCTTTAATGAATCTCCCAGTAGAACATCCCTCAAGAAACCACCCAATCGGATTTTTGCTGCCAAGTTTGGCAGAGGGTAACCCATTGAAGCTCTGTATTTTGCGAAATCCATCAGTGTTGACGATTTGTTGGTTAAGAACCATTCTTTTTGACTTTTCTCGTTGATTCCCTGTGCTGACCCGCTGGTCAGATGATCACATCGGAGATGGAGACATGTTTTCGGAAGCTGAGCGACGAGCGGGTGGGGAGGGTCCCAGGGTCCGGTGTGCAGAGTTGTTGCTGGTCCCTGGTCCCTTCTGATAGTGACTTACCCTCTGGTAAACTAACATAACTATAGAAAATCACCATTTTTAATGGGTAAATCCACTAATTATAAATGGCCATTTTCAATAGCTATGTTAAATTACCAGAGGGTAGTGCTTACCCTTCAGTGATGGCAAGCTGGGAAATCCCGGAACGAACAACGGAGAGTTAGTTCAGTGCCAGGCTTCGCTGGGCCGAATGGAGGCACGCTAATAGTGGGTGACAGCGGGACCGGGAATGGGTGGAGAGTTGATTTCCGAGATGATGATGACGATGATGATGATGATGATGATGACGATGATGATGATGACGATGATGACGATGACGATGATGACGATAA